CCCTGAGGTCACAGGAAGATTCTTCCCCATCCCTCCTCTCCACCTGCTCCTGGGTGCAGTCTCTGTGCTCTGTGGGTCTTTAGCACTAGTTGGTGGTCCTGAGTGCCACCTGGCGGCCTTGAGCATTCACTGCAGCCCAGCCCCTCCTGTCTCCCTGCAGGAGGTTTGTGTCTGGGCTCACACTGACTTCCTCTCACTGTGTCACTTGCACAGTAATAAACGGCCGTGTCCTCGGTGGTCACGGAGCTCAGCTGCAGGGAGAACTGGTTCTTGGACGTGTCTCTGGAGATGGAGGCGCGGCTCTTGAAGGATGGGCTGTAGTAAGTGCTACCACTATAAGCTATGCTCCCAATGTACTCCAGCCCCTTCCCTGGGGTCTGGCGGATCCAGCTCCAGCCATAATACCTGCTTGTGATGGAGCCTCCAGTGACAGTGCAGGTGAGGGAGAGGGTCTGTGAGGGCTTCACCTGTCCTGGGCCCGACTCCTTCAGCTGCACCTGGGACAGGACACCTGGGGACAAAGAGAATCAGTCTCTATCAGTCACATGCAGTCACAGCCATTCCCGTTGACCCAGGTCTTAGAACAGAGACACTCACCTTGGGGAGCCGTCACCAGGCAAAGGAGAAGACCCAACAGCCTCATCTTCTTCTAGACTACACTCTGCCTTCCCCAGAGACCTCAGCCTCATCTTAGGAGAAAGCTGTGAGCTCCCACAGCCCAAGAGTGGATTTTACGCTAGAGCTTGAAGAGAAATTTGCATGTGGGGAGCCCTGTCCTTATAAGTGGGGAGGAACCGAGCTGAGGCTCACCCTGATCCTTCCACAGCCCCTGTGGGTGTCTCTACACTTGTACTTATCTTCTGTGTAAGCCAGAGAAGGGAAGGTAGTGGATATTTGGTATCTGAGAATCCTTAAGACAAGTCAAATTTGGTTCCTACCATTTTGTGCCCAGACTCTTTCCTTCCAGGCCCTCCTTCCTCCTGCCCTTCCCTGATCTCGACTCAACTCTCCCCTATCCACTCAGGGCCTGGGTCTCCTTCCTCTGTTCTGACTCCAGAACAGCTGATGCCGACTTTCCCTGTACCCTCTCCTGGGATGGGGTTCTCATTCTCTTTAGAAGCTGTTACATCGTTTATTGTGGCTTTTGTATGGGATGTCCATCAGCTTTTTGCTGCACCCATCCTGTGACCTCGTGATGTAAGCTGGACTATATAGCACCTCATACACCATCAACACACAGCGTCTATACGAATTCTGGGGCGAGCTGTTTCTCATCAGTTTTATCTTCTGTCTTTTGCTCCCGGACACAAAGAATGGTGTTCAAGGGAGGCCCTTGTGGGGACAAACACAAGATCCGCACGTGCTCTCTGTCTTCTACTTTTCTCCACAGTGGGTCTGTGCTTTTACATGTAGTCTCTTCCTGAAGATAAACATGCCAGTAGAGAAGGCAAGATTCCAGATGAAATGCGTAGTCAGGAAATATGAGTGAGGCTATGCAAATAAATAATCTATACATTTTATTATTAAATGGGGGCACATTGTGATATGGATCCATTACACTCTAGGGGAAAGGTAATCAGGTACAACCATTTTAACAGCTATTTGTAAGCGATGAAGGAAAAAATCTCCAAATTATTCATAAACTCACTTTTGTACTTATAGATCTAGTCAGTTATTGTCAGAGACTAAACCACGACTCCTGAAGAGTTGTATTTATAGCTACTGTTTCTACGGAAGATAAATGAAACGAACTCCAGAACCAGTCATTTCTCACACACAAGGAGCAGCAATTGCAGGAGGAAGTACACTTGTGCCACGGCCATGTTGTCATCACTTCCTGAACATGAGGAAAGGACCCTGACCCCCAGCCCCTCAATCTCTGACTCACTGAGGCCCTATGGGGATCCCCTGATTCATCTTAGGCCCCGAGGCATCAGGGGTGCAGCTGGGAGCCTGGCTTCTGGCCAGAGACCTGGGTGGGATCTTTCAGCCTGAGCACAGGCAGCTCCATGGCTGCTCCCGGAGGCCTCACTGTGGGAAGCAGCCCCTACCCGACTTGGTGCAGAGCTGGCTAAGACAATATTCTGGATGGAGTTTCACTCAAGGATGCAACCTCTCCCCATGAGACCAGCCGTGCTTGTGTGCATGTCTGCAGCCCCAGCCTGGGTGCCTCCACAAAGACCTCCTATCAGGGACCTTGCCTCAGACACACTTCTCCATTCTGACTCCGTCAGTTTCCAGCCCAAGCCCTTTCCCCTTCCCACACTGGCTCTCCTGGATCTCTGCATTCATTATGGTCAGGGTCGTTTTGCTCTGTGTTCCTCAGCAGGGAGGCCACTTCATCCTGGCCTTGCTGCATGCCAACCGGCCTTCACCTGATGCCATTCTTGGGGGAAATGTATTTTTACCGGCAGACTCCGTCTTTAGGAATCATGACAAATGAATTATAAATGGTGCAAAATACACAAACCAATGTGTTCAGGAAAGAAGGGCAGCTTAAGGAACTTCAAGGGGAGAAATATCACATTATACTGAGACCAGAAACCAAGTGGGCTTTTCTACCCATGGGAAGAGGAGGGAGAGATGGGCCAAGACTGGGAATCTTGGATCCTGTCAGAACGGACGCCAGTCAATCAGAGGAGGCAGGATCACGTATTGGAGGGTGTGGGTCTCTCCGAGGATTGGGGCCCAGGTGGGAAAGAGAGTGGGATAAGGAGGACGATCCCTCCACACGTGAGCTGCTGTTTCTATTCTGACAAACCACTGTGGATGGTAACGCCTCCCAGCCCCAGGGAGGGGATGTGCAAATGGTCTGCCTGAAACAAAGGGGTCAGGTTTTCCATGAGCCTCACCAAGGAGTGGACTCTGCTCACTCTGGTGCATCAGGAGGTACAAAGAGATATGTTGAAATTCCTTCCTTCCTCCGTGATGGAGAAGGTGAAACAAGTGCCATTGAAACTGGAAGGGAGTCCCAACGGAGTCGCTCCCTTGAGGACAAAAGGAAATCTCAGAAAGTGACAAAATAACAACAACAACAACAATCACCTGTGGTGCCCCCCTGTATTTATCCTTGTCACTCTTCCCGGAGCTCGGTGGTTGTGAGTGCCCCTGGTGGTTGTGAGTGCCCCCTGCAGCCCAGCCCCTCCTGTCTCCCTGCAGGGAGGTTTGTGTCTGGACTCACACTGACTTCCCCTCATTGTGCATGTTGCGCAGTAACACACAGCTGTGTCCTTCCTGATCAGAGAGCTCAGCGGCAGGGAGAACTGGTTCTTGGACATGTCTCTGGGGACAGAGCTCCAGCTTTTGCGTGTTGGGTTATAAGTTGTGCTACCACCATCACAGATGCATCTCGTCCTTTCCAACCCCTTCCCCGGGCTCTGGAAAACTCAGCTGCACCAGCCACAGATGGCTGTGATGCAGAAACCAGAGACAGCACAGGTGAGGGCGATGGTCATCACGGGCTTCACCAGTCCTGGGCCCAGCTCTTCCAGCTGCACCTGCAACAGGACCCCGGGGACCAGGAGAGTCGGTCCCTGTCAGTCACACGATTCAGAGCCATCCACATAGCCCCATGTCTGACATCTGAGACACTCACCTTGGGGAGTCATCACCTGGGACAGGACACCTGGAGACAGAGAAGAACACGGTGAGTCCTGTGCTCACTTGAAGCATCTCCATGTGGTCGTGGCTGAATCCATGTGACACTCTTATCTGAAAGCTGCCACCAGAAAGATAAAGAACCACATCTGTGCTAGCAGGTGAGGTCCTTAATTTCAGAAAATATTTTCCACGATGAGTCATAACATGAATTTAAGTGAACATGCACAGTAGTTTCATCTAGTTGTCCAAGTGGAGATTTGCATTTTGGGGAATCTTTGTATGTAAATATGAAAGGGAACACGGGAAAGTGTCTGTCTCTGGGGCTCCCCCTGTGAGGAGGATGCTGTTCTTGCCTTCAGAGAACTCGGTCTCACACTGGGGTCCACTCACCATGCCCAGAGCTCTTTTATTCCAGGTCAGAATAAGTGCAGAAGGAGTTGGTTAGTGAGGGGGATGTGACCAAGGACCGAAGGTGGCTTTGATAATAGATCAGCATGCCTCTACTTTCAGAGTCTGTACATTTATCAAATGCTCAGCACAAATCAAAGAACCTCTAAATTATTAGATACCCTTTCCAATCCTTTTCCCTTCTCCCTTATCACATGTTTAAACTGGGCTATTCCAAAGTTTTGAGGCATAAACTAATGTAATCACATTGAATTCAGAACAAATTGGGTGTAATACAATGTTTGCCGTACAGTAGAGTGGCTGTATTGACTACCTTGACTTGGGTGAACATTTCTTCATGTGAGACGTGTTCCAACCGTGTGTGTCCAAGATTTCTATGGAGGAGGATATGTCCATGCCAAGCGATCACACACTCTATTAGTGGCACAGGGTGAACTTTTTCGGATGGTATCTGTTGCTATCATTGTTGAAATAACCATCATCCCTGATCCTGCTCATCTTGTAGGAAGCTGAGTTGGGTTGAGAATATCCTGGCCCTGCAGACTCTCTTCTTGGGTGAGAGCTTTGAGAGGCCTAAATTCACTTCAGGACTTGAAATAGAGACAGCTGGTGGAAAGCCCTCAGCTGACCAATGCTGGTCAGCATCCTGGTCGCAATGTACAGACTCATATATCCTAGTAGTATCCATTTATTTTTAATCAAAACCAGTGAATTTTGGATTAACTGGAATGGTTCTCCCTATAGCGGGGGAGAGGACTTCAGGACTCTTGGCAATAGACCTGCAGAGTGAATGGGTTGCAGGGTGGATGAGTTCACCACAGCCAGAGGGAAGCTCCCTGCTCTACAAAGTAGGTCCCATTAATCAGGCCGCTGAGAGCTGCCGTTCTGAGTCCCTAAGTCACCAAATCCTGGGATCATGGCTGAAATCTGATGAGTGTGTAGTTGTGAAGATCAGAACACAGCTCCATCTTCCTCAAAGTGTAACTCTGAGGATATGACCTCATCATTGTGGTCTTAAGTCTGAAAAGCTGTAATTTGGGGATCCCAGTAATAAGTTTGCATGTGAACTTCATAGTAGGCACCCAGTAATGTTAGGCATTATCATCACTGTGATCAGTGGTACTATCTCCCTTGGGAACTGGAAAGGACATCATCACAGATGGCGCAAGGAACTCCTGCTCTGCTCCTGCCCTGACATGTCACACCTGTGCAACTGAGACAGTTCAACCCACACTCAACCCAGTGTCATGACATGTAAATGGACCAACTAAGGTCCAGTTATCTCTGAAAATTCCATTTTTCTTTATTATTACAAAAACAGAAACTTGAATGCAGTGTATTATCAATTGGCTGTTTAATAATGTTGGTGAAGTGAATTGAATGATAAAGCATCCTCATGCTTGAATGTAGGTAACAGAAGAGTCACTAGAAGTCGGTTGAGCCAGATCAGTAGCACCACTGTGGACCCTCTGGTTAGGACCTGGACAAACATGCTGCCCTGCTGTATGACGGTGGAAGGGAAGAGACAGCACTCGACACCCAGAACCAGGTGAGCACTTGGCCTCAGGTGACCTCTGGGCACTGAGGTATGAACAGATGCAGAAGGGTCTGTCCAGGCCCTTTGGGGCTGATGCACCTGGAGGGAGGCTGAGATAAATTCTTGCTCACAGAGATGATTAGAGATAGGTGTACATAT